AGACAACCCCGTAACAATATGCGTTTTGTACTGCTGTTACACAGCACAAAACGCATAAAAACCAGGTTTAGCATTCCCTGGCTAAGTTTTGTACTTTTTTTCTTCTAGATTTTTTTGCACTTTGCTTTTCGTCTAGACAATTTCAGTTGTTTCTGTCACTTGGCACTCCTCCCTTGTAACACTGACCTGATTTATCCGTTCCACTTCTTCCAAGTATTCAGTTAGTAGCATATTTGGTCGTCCAAATCGATGATGCTTTTTCCCAGCGGCTATTATATCCACATAACCATTGTAATCGTAACTTTTCCCCGGCCAAAATTCCTGCTCATTGAGAGGCCAGTGCTCACTCAACACTTGCTTCTCGTAACGCCACATGGCGTTCTTCGGTGAAAAAACATATTGCGGATCAATAGTTGTCTGCAGAAAAATTCCTCTTTTTAGCAGATGGTTGTTTTCCTTGCTGATGCAAATTTGTTTTTCAGCGTCAGAAAGCAATGATTAAGCTAGAAGTCAAAATTACGAGAGTGTGAGATCGCCGTGCTGTGCGTACGGCTGCATATCAGTAACACTAAGAGCTTCAAAAAGATTTTCCTTTCGACCTATCAAAACCAGTATCGGTCCTCAATTAAATTTCGACACAAGAGTTTTATCGCGGTGCTGAAACGACAAATAACGAAATGCACTGGGGGTTTAATCCGTACGTGCCGAGAAGTCTCCATGATTTAATAGAAATAAACCACTGCTAGCTTGAAAAGTAAACGATAATGAAGTAAAAATCACGCAGTCGTTGCAAAAGGCGGAAACCCCAGCCTGGAATGCACCAAGCTTACCAGTGTGATCATCCGTTTTCATCCGTTTTTGCAAAAACACATATTGGCATGAGGCTGTTGTAGGTGTATATGTGCGTCTGTGCGTTCGCGGTTTTGGTCACCCACTTTCAATTCAAGGACCAGAAAAGCTAGAGAGCTGAAACTTTGGGAATATATGTCCACCACCGCTGCGATCCTCTCATTTCAACATCGTCACCCGCATACACCTGAATGCCATGTACGAAGGCCTTAAAAAATATGCAAAGTTTATGGCGGGAAGGCGATCTTGGGAGCCAGA